GAACGTTCTGGATACAGACGGGTCTTCCGTTATCTAGTTTTTTTTTATCCCGCATCGTTTCTCAACCCGTGCGTTCGTGCATCTAGTTGTTTATACCCAGCACCGTGTTCCTGTCCTTGGACACGTCGGGGGGCAGAGGTGTAGCAATCAGCATCTGCGGTTTTGCTTGTCATTGTGCTCGTGGCCATTTTGGCTCGAGCGACCAGCAATAGGGAATTGCTCCCAACGCGACCCTCCCCTGTAATGTTTTGGGGGGCGCGGGAGCTTCGGGGATTTCCCCCGTGAGTTCCGGCGACTAGGCCTCCCACATTGGAGCGAGGACAGATGCCACCATAGACCCAAACACTTGCCCATATCTCTTGGGTGGTGTGGGTGGGCAGACGTATTCACTTGCTACGAAGAATGATGCTATTAATAAGTATAACAGCACTCATACTAAGACGAATAAGAAGACTACTAATCATACGAATAATAATAATGGCACGATTAATGATAATAATTGTAAGGCTACCATAAGCATAATAATACTGCTGATAAACAGAAAAGACAAACAGCAATACGAAACAGAAGAAGACGAGCCCGACAACTACGAATACTAACGATACACTAACAATACGAATACTCATGATACTAATAATAAGAGGGATACTAGTAATAGCAGTAATGCTAACAATACGAATGATAGTAATACTATGAAGCGCACGAGTTATACTACAGCCCGCCGTTGCAGAGGCTGGGGGGTCGAGGGGCCACCGGTTGGCAGAAAAGCTGTCCGCGTCACCGAGCCACCGAGGAGGCACAGAGCCTCCGTGAGGGGCACGCCCCCTCCTCCTCCTCCTCCTCCTCCTCCTCCTCCTCCTCCTCCTCCTCCTCCTCCTCCTCCTCCTCTCCTCCTCCTCCTCCTCCTCCCCTCCTCCTCCTCCGTCTCCTCTCCTCCTCCTCCTCCTCCTCCTCTCCTCCTCCTCCTCCTCCTCCTCCTCCTCCTCCTCCTCCCTCCTCCTCCTCCTCCTCCTCCTCCTCCCTCCTCCTCCTCCTCCTCGTCCTCCTCCTCCTCCTCCTCCTCCTCCTCGTCCTCCTCCCCCTCCTCCTCCTCAACAGAACCTGTTCGTGGGCGAGCGGCCGCTGCGCCTGGCCCTGGTGGGCACTTGGCCTAAAACGGGTGGTGCAGGGGCCGCGGGGATCAGGTGGGGGCTCAAGGGACGGGGGTCAGTGCAAGCGGGGTCAGCCAGAGCGCCAGATCTTGCAGGCTCCTGCCAAGCCAGGGTTGCACTGATCCATGTCGGCGTGCAGGAGCCTGCAGGATCCTTTCTGGGATTCTGCAGGATCCTGCAATGTCTGACTGACCTGAGTTTGCATAGACCAGGTCAGTAGGTCCCCGAGGACGATGAAGAGGAGGAGGAGGAGGAGCAGGATTTTTGGATTGCGGCACTCAACTAGATGCAAACGATGGCAGTGGCAACTGGGAACGATGCAACAGTACGTACATGCAGCACGGGCGCCAAGGTTCGGTGAATCTCACACATACCCCGTTCTGTCCCCACATACCCCCTCATTGGACGGAACTGCACGGGGCTGGCACGACTAATGGCCAGCTCGACGTAGCTCTCATTCTGCACCGGAAGGGAAGGATAAGGGGCAAGACCGAGGGGAGGTATGATAAGATCCGAGAGGAGAGAGTAAGATTGGGACGCAGGTCCAAAACTTCCAGCTCGGTAGGAGGGCAGACCGAGGGGGAGGGTCGCGAGTAGGCTGGCTGACCACTCCGACCCGACTGCGCTCCCATAAGGCGGTGCTGCACAAGGAACGTACAACAACAGTGCGTCTTCCTGCGAGATGAAGGAAGAGAGGGCGCGGGACGGCAGAATTGGCACGACAAAAAGTTCGGCGACGTCCAATTACCTCCATCCTCCGTCCTCCTACCATCCTCCCAGCCAGCCTCCACATGTGCAACTATTGGCCAAGCTGCGCCAGGCGCACATTGACAAACATATCATCGTAATTGAATGCCTGAGGAGGGGGATGGGCAGGCATATGCATTGGTCCTGCCTGGACCCACCAGCGCACGCACATGTAAAACATGGCATCGGCGACAGTTCGGTCAAGGCACGCCGTCAGCTCACGCTTCGACTCGGCCGACTTCGCAACCGCTCCGCGAATCGAATAAGATCTGCATTGCACTCGGGCCCATTCCACTGCAAGTCGAAAGCTCGACATGGTGGCCTGCTGGAGGGCAAAAGGATCAGAGGGTGAACGTGATGTTCATGAACAGCACCGCGAGCACCACGGTCCGGAACCACGGCCATAGCAGCAGCAGCGCCGGAGACGGAGACATCGCACGCCTCGAGCCTCGGCCCCACCGGGGGGGCAGCACCTGCAGGAAGCGGTGGCGCACGGCGTAGAGCACCATCACGATGACCATGAACGACACCAGGAGCTCCAGGTTCCTGAGCCTCGGCCGCGGCGGCAGCAGTGCCAGAAGCGGCAGCTGTAGACGGCGCCCGACTAGGTGCATCCGGGGGCGTAGCACAGCACTCGATCGTGTCGCAGGGCGTAGAGCGCTATCACGTTATTCGCGAACCCCACCGGGATATCCACGTGTCGGAGGCGAGGCCGCGGCCGCGGCGGCAGCAGTTCCGGAAGCGCCGACCGCATCTCCAGCAGGTAGCCGCGGTTCTGAGCGAAGAGCATGATCGAGATGATCCTGAGCCCCGTCTTCGGCAGCAGCAGCGCCGGAAGCGGAGACCGCGAACCTCACCGGCTGTCGCCCCTCTGGGGGCGCAGCACCAGCAGGCAGACGTGTCGCAGGGCGTAGGTCACGATCACGAGGAGCGTGGACAACACCACCAGGAGCTCCAGATTCGAGAGCTTCGGCCCCAGCAGCAGCGGCGCTGGAAGCGGCCGCGCCAAACGCCCCGCGACGTGGCGCCTCCGGGGGCGCAGCACCAGCAGGGAGTTTTGCTGCAGGGCGTAGAGGACATTCACGAGGCTCTTGAACATCACCAGGAGATCCACGATCCGGAGCCGCGGCCACGGCCGCGGCAGCAGCACCGCCGGAAGCGGCAACCGCACGCGCCACCTTCCCGGGCGCCTCCGGGGGCGCAGCACCAGCAGGCAACCATGGCGCAGGGCGTAGAGCGCTATCACGAGGAGCGTGAACAACACCGGGAGCTCCAGCGTTGGGAGTTTCGTCCACGGCAACAGCCGCGCTGGCAGCGGCAGGCGGCCCATGCTGATGAATATCGCGTGCAAGTTGTGGCGGCAGTACACGCGGCGGCAGCATGTACGAAGAAACCGGCGAGGAAGGCGAAGGAACGCATGGCGTCGGCCATGCACGATACCACACTGTCGCCTCCACCTCCGCAGCCCCCGCGCGGATTGAGCCAGACGAAAGTGTGTAGCCGGCGGCGACGGTACGCTCCTCTCCACACTCATGTCGGAGGAGCACGCGCCGGCGGAGGGCCTCGCGGTCTCGGAGCAGCAGCACTAGCAAGCCCATCGGCACCTGCAAGAACCGTATCACGACCGTGAGGTACGCAAGGATGAGCGGGTTGGGGCAGAATGCGTCCACGGGTGTGGCCTTCGCAAGCGAACGCCAGCGCGGCCACGTCGCCCATCCAGACACGGCGGCCGACTCGGGCCTAGTAGCCAAGCCTTCGCACGGTGGCGCGACGGGGCGGCCTCGGCTGGCTGCCACCTCGGCGCCGGCCGGCCACGTTTCGTCGTGCACGGTCGTCTTCGGATCCAGGCGAGGACAGGTCGACGCGCATGGCAGCTGTCGCGGGAGGTGGTGGGGGCCAAAAACAGCACCCTGTGTGCTGGCAAAGGCTCCTGACCTGGGACGGCGGCTGGTGGAGCAGGAAGGAAGGAGGAGGGAGGATGGTTCGAGGCCTACCGAAGGGGGCTAGAGATGATGGTGTCGCAGGGTCACGCCGCATCGATGCTGCGCGGTCCTCTCCGTGTGATAGGCGTCGCCGATGCATCCCCGATGCCCCATTGCGGAAGCCCGCGCTGACGGAGGAGCAGCAGCAGGAGGAGGAGGAGCAGCAACAGCTAGCTACAAGCACGGGGCGTTGGTTTCTGGGTGGCTTCTCGAGGCTCCTCGTTGCCGAGGCTATAGATGCTTCGGTCCGGGTCCGGGTCCGCACCGGGTCCGGGTCATATTATTTTTCCCCCCGAATTCAGACCCCCTTGCGTCGTGAAGAAGTCACCGCGGAAGCTTGTTGCCCGCTTTCGGCCTCTGGGGGCTCTTCCTGGATCTCAGGATTGTCAAAAACGCACTCCGAGTGTCTTAATACGTAAACGCGGGGGGGCGTCACCACCGCCGATAGCCTCACATCGGCCCCCGTCGCGGGCAGCCACCGCGCGCCGAAGGCGCTCCGCCCCCCGTCGCGGCGCGACGACGAGGCGAGGCTGACCCCCGCCGGGGGGGGGCCCACGTTTATTAGGAAACCCAGAGTGGTCACGAAGGGCTTCATCCAGGACACCTACTTCATCCTGAATTGTTTCTGACGGCCCCAAGGAATGAAGGGTACCACAGGTCCGAAAACAGTGAAACTAATCCATGACTCTTTTCCCCCAGGCCCCATGTCTTGCCGCTTGCTGAGGGCAGTGGGGGACGAAGAACCCGTCTAGGGGAAGTTCCTGATAGTTTTTCAGTTCCCGTCTGTGAGAAAATTACATGCCTCGGGGGTGGTACTTGCTTCGTTCGCCCCCCACACATGGTCATTTCAGTGGAGCATAGTTTTGCGTCGTCCTCACCCTCGACCCCCTCTTCCCCGAGTTCTCACCGCCGTGTTCCTCGCCATAATCTTCGTCATCCTCTGCCTCTTCTCACTCCATTCCCCTTCCCCCATTCCGTCCTTGCGTTTGTCTGGCCATCTTCACCTCCCCCGCCGATCCTTCATGCCATTTCGTGTTCTATTCTGCGTCAGCGGTTGGTTTTTGAGCAATTTTCCATCATCGCACGACGCGAAGATCGCCAACGCTTGCGCCTCAGATCCATGGTCGTGGATTCCAAGGTGCTGTTCTACCCGCATTCCTTCCACCCCATCTTAATTCGTTATGTCTCTTGTGTTGCTCATCACCACCGCCACCATCATCATCACACATTCCGTGGGGTAACCCGATACTATTGAAAGGATACAGTGAATAATAGCATGGCCCCTGCGCAAGGATGGCATGTAGGAGTCGAGAAGTGTATGCAATCAGCACCATCATTAACATATTCGTCCGCATCCCGCCTTATCCTCCTTGACATCATCCTTGCTATTATTTCCCTCTTCCTGCCGCTGGTCATCCTCTTACTCGTCGTCCTCTCATACTCCGCCCTCCTCTACAAAGGTGCTGCTCTACCCCGTGTTGTGGGCAATCGCGAAGGTTGTCGCCCCCTCCATGGACCTCACAAATCACGTTCTTACGGCTACGCTGTTGAGGTATGCCGTGAACCTCGGATTTACAAGTTTGGCGCACATTGAGAGCGTATCCTACCACAGGCGCGTCATCAACAAGAACCCTCCAGCCAAGCAGCTTGATAGAGAGCTAGACTGGGACACTCCTGTGGTTGGCAGTGTGATAGCGTTCATTCTAGTCGAGAGGATCGCGCCATGGCTGTTGACCAACGCCACAGGCTTTTCCATGACCAGCCTCATACTTTGCATCGTGGGGCATTACGGCATCGTGGAACCAGTTTACTGGGCGTTCCATGTGGCGCTCCACTGGCCGAAGATGTACCAGGGTTCGCACAGCCACCATCATTCCTCGATTATCACGGAGTCGGTCTCTGGCACTTCGCATCCGTTGCTCGAGACAGCCGGCTATTTGGCGATCTTCTCAATGCCATTCTTGTTGCCTGCGTTCTACGGGCATTTCTCGTATGAGCTGGTGTACATCTACTTCACATTTTTCGACATCATGAATTGCATTGGCCACTGCAATTTCGAGTGTGTCCCCGAGTGGCTGCAGTGGGGACCACTGAAATATTTGATCTACTGCACAGCTTACCACTCGGAACATCACACCAAGTTTCGGAAGAACTATTGCCTGTTCTGCCCGCTATGGGACTACCTGGGCAACACTGTGAGCAAGGACACATACGCATTGCAGAAGAAGAGCTTGAGCCGCAAGGGCTATCAGAAGGTGGACGTAGTGTTCTTGGGCCATGGTTTCGGATGGAGCTCTATCCTCCACATGCCGATGGTGAGCCCCTACCTGTCCACGCAGAAGGCGGGAGATGTCAGGTGGTGGATGTACCCGTTCTTTCCGTTCTGCGCGCTGGTGACCCTCGTGTGTCGTGCGTGCGTCCGAGTGAGCTTGACCATGCAGCGTTACTCTTACAAGCACCTCGCGTGCGCCACGTGGGTGGTGCCTGTGCTCGCCTACAACTATGCGTGTGGTAAGGATCTGGGACCACTTGCGAACCCTACCCCTAGTGAAGGGCCAGTTTTCCACCACCACCACCATAAGTTGGAGGGGGAGGGGGCCCTCCTCCTCCTCCTCCTCCTCCTCCTCCTCCTTCTCTTCGTCCTCCTCCTCCTCATCTTCCTCGTCCTCCTCCTCCTCCTTCCCCCCTCCAACTTCTGGTGGTGGTGGTGGAAAACAGGCTATCACCTAGGTCTGATCCACGCTGGGGGAACCGATACCCCCGCTGGGGCTCACTTGGCTGCAGATCTCTGTGCAGCTCTGAGCCACGGCCGGTTTTTCAAAAAAAAAAAACGACCTGCAGGGGCGCGGCCAACCAGTGCGACGGAAGAAGACGGCGTCGACTGCGCAGGCCTTCGCGCGCAAGCTCACTTGCCTAAGGTGGCGCGTGAGCGCTCCTGTTTCCGATGTATCGTGCCGCGTTGGTAGCCCGCGCAAGCCGTGGCGCAAGGTCGCCAGGTCTTCCGTGCGTAAGACCCGCTTCTTTGCATCGCTCACATGCGGTTGTCTGCAGAGGAGTGGCCCTACATCAACACGTTGTTGCTGAGGGCCATCCGGGACGCGGACGAGCAGGGCGCAACGCACGTGGGCCTCGGGGCCCTGAACAAGGCCTGGGCGACCCAAATGCACGCGCACACGTGCGCAACCAGTCTGCAGTCAGGGCTTCTGGGACCGCCCAAGAAGTGAACGAAGACAGAAGCATAGACTCTCGAAATTCCGCGCGCATTTTTCTTGGGTCAGCGCTGGGCCCCCCTCGGCGGCGCCTCTAGCGCAGCCCCTGGCTCGCTCCCCGCGCGCCGGAAACGGGGGTCGATTGTCCTCTGCCCCCTGGGATCGACCCTTCCGGGGGGTCCACGGGCCCAGGATCGGCCCGGCCAGGCTCAGGGGCCACGATTAGGGGGGGAGAGGTTCATGTGGGGGGCGCATCGACCCCCAAGCGCCCGTTGATCGCCGACAGGGGCCCGGAAGCCCAACCTGCCCAGGAGCGTGCGGACTCACAATCGGGGGCCTATCGCCGATCTATCGGCGAGGCATCGCCCATTCGAGGTCCACGTTTCCCCCCCCGATGCCTATCCGCCCCTGTCGTTGCCCCCCACAGGCAGGGGTGGTGCTCACGCGGCGCTGGGCCCCTTAGGGGCCTGAGCAGCATCGGGTGCGGGTGCGCAGCTGGTACTCAGAGGGGGAAAAGGTACTCTGGGTTTTCTTAGTATGCGTGGGGGGTACCCCCCCGACGGGGGTCAACCTCGCCTCATCGTCGCGCCGCGACGGGGGTCGGAGCGCCTTCGGCGCGCGGTGGCTGCCCGCGACGGGGGTCGATGCGGGGCCGTCGGCGGGGGTGACGCCCCCCCTGACGCTTAGCAAGAAACTCTGAAAAAAAGAACCGTACCGCGACCCTCTGCCCGTTTTCCTCTTTGTCAGCCTCCTGAGAGGTCGTTGTCGCCACCGCTGGATTCGCCTCGAATTCCTGGTCAAAGCGCGCCCCAGGAGAGGTCCGGGGAGTAGCGGTACGTAGCACCCTGCAATTGCCGATAAGAGTGAGGGGGCGGGCGCGGGCGACGCGGGCGTCGTCGAGCCGGCGGACCTCGTGGCCCTCACCTTCCCCGTCGATGGCGCTTCCTCCTCCTCTTCCTCGTCCTCGTCCTCGTCCTCATCGTCATCGTCCTCCTCCTCTTCTTCCTCGTCTTCCCTCTCCCCCCCTCATCCTTCCATCATCGTCCTCCCATTGTCGTCCTCCCCCTCATCGTCCTCCCCCTCCTCCCCCTCCTCGTCCTCCTCCTTCCCCTCCTCCCCCTCCTCCCCCTCCTCGTCCTCCTGCTCCTCCTCCTCCTCCTCCTTCTCCTCCTCCTCCTCCTCCTCCTCCTCCTCCTCCTCCGCTTCCTCCTCCTCCTCTTCTTTCTCCACATTATCCTTACATCCTCTCTTCTTCCGCGTCCTCTTCGTCCCCTGTTTACTCCTCCTGCCTCCCCCTCCTTTCCCAAGATAACGGCAACGCGAACCTTTTTTCCACTTTATGCTCCCCGACTTCTCTGATCAAGGCAACTCGCCAGGGCATAGTTGCTGGACGGGCTGGCGTGGCTGCGCGGGGCTTGAAGAGGTCGCTGCGGGTTCAGACGGCATGCGAAAATCCGCCGCCGCGCTTGTGCGGCACTGGTTTGTTCAGTGAATTTGTGTCGCGGGTGGGTCGCAGGCTCTCCATCTCCACCTGGAAGGAATGCAAAAGCAGCCCGCCGCAGGCGCCGAAACATTTGGTTTGCACACTGAACGTGGTTTGGGTCGCGGGTGGGCCGCGGGTTCTCCACCAGGAACGATTGCAAAAGATGCCCGCCGCAGGAGCCGAAACAAATGGTTTGTACCTGAACGTGGTCGCGGGTGGGCCGCGGGCTCTCCACCTGAAACGAATGCAAAAGATGCCCGCCGCAGGCGTCGAAAAATGAGGCTTGTACCCTGGACGTGGTTTGGGTCGCGGGTTGGTCTCGAGTTGGTCGCGGGCGGGCCGCGGGCTCTCCACCTGGAAGGAATGCCAAAAATGCCCGCCGCGGGCGCAGACAATGGTGGTTTGTACCTTGAACGTGGTTTGGGTCGAAAGTGGGTCGCGGGTGGGTCGCGGGGTGGGTCGCGGGTGGGTCGCGGGTGGGTCGCGGGTGGGTCGCGGATAGGCCGCGGGGCGGGTCGCGGGCGGGTCGCGGGGTGGGTCGCGGGGTGGGTCGCGGGGTGGGTCGCGGGGTGGGTCGCGCGGGTGGGTGGGTCGCGGGTGGGTCGCGGGGTGGGTCGCGGGGTGGGTCGCGGGTGGGTTGCGGGTGGGTCGCGGGTGGGTCGCGGGGTGGGTCGCGGGGTGGGTCGCGGGGTGGGTCGGGGGTGGGTCGCGGGGCGGGTTGCGGGTGGGACGACGACAACAAACAACAACAACAACAACAACAAACAATAACAACACAGAACAACAAAAATCCGCACTTCGGAATCCCATATTTGCCACGCACCCAGGGACAGTGAATGACCGCTCGGCCCCCTCACTCTGATGAGTACCTTCTGGTTTCCCCAGGTTTCCGGTCCCCATTGGTCGTTGGAGGTAAGTGTTTTGCTGGATTCCCATATCCCACTTTGTTTCAAG